AGAGGAATGTTGAGCTCTAAGATCTTGTTGATTCACGACAACGCCCGGCCCCACACGGCAAATGTCACTCGTAAAGTTCTTGAATCTTTTAAGTGGGAGTTGTTTCCTCATCCGCATCCGCCTACAGTCCGACCTGGCACCGAGCGACTTCCACCTATTCCCAGCAATGAAGAAGTGGCTGGCTATGCAGCGTTTTGATGACGACGCACAGCTGCAAGAAGAGGTAACGAAGTGGTTGAAGGCGCAGGCGGCCGAATTTTTCGACGAAGGAATTTCCAAGCTCGTACATCGCTACGATAAATGCCTTAATTTGTATGGTGACTATGTAGAAAAGTAGTATTTGAGTGTGGCTTTCATCTGTATATAATAAAATTTGTTTCCTATACTTTGTTTATTTTTTTATTCCAAAACGTAATCTACTTTCTGGATAGCCCTCGTATATAATGGACATTCAAGGCATTTTATATAATTGCCTATTAAATCGAGTAAGAAAAACTAAAACGCTGGTTCTTTCCTGAGAAACATTGCGCGTCGAGAAAGCTGATAGTCTTTCCCCTTCTGTAATAATGTTGTAATGTTACTTTTTAATTAACCAAGAAAGCTTATGTTAAATTTCAAAATAAATAGAAAAACATAAAAAAAGAAAATCCTAACAAAATAAACAAAAATGCCTGTAACCCTTTAATTTACAGGTGCACTTATAAAGAGCTGTGATTTCCAGTTTGTTTGTTTCAATAAATCTCTCAAAACCAGAAGCACAAAATAGAAACTAATGCCAATACATGAAAATCAAATGCCGTATGAGTCAACCCATGTGAAAACAATTAGCACTTAGTTCCATTCACTGGCTTTTAAAAATTCAAATAAATCGTTCCGTTTTAATGTCACGTATAATGCGACGCTGGGCTGGTAGGAACAGAATTGTTGTGCCGTGTATACGGGACGCTGAGCCGTTAGGAGTAGAATCGTTGCGTGACGCGACACTGGTCCTGAACGGGTTAACAGAAGATGAGCCAAAATGGCCAAAAATTTTAATTGAATTGCTGGTTAGAGTAGACTGAAGGGTACCACTTCTATTATTGCGGAGTTGTTTCATTTATCGCCAAGTTGATGTTTTGTTTATTGCCAATTTGTTGTTTTATTTATGGTAATCTGAGTAGTTGAATGTTCCGTAAATATACTTTTACCTAGAATTGGGTGCTCCTTTGATTATTTAAGTGAAAATATATGGATGTGCACATGGACAAAGTCAAGGGAGTGTGCAATGCCAAGTTTGTGCAAATCTCTGATATTTTTTTAAGTGAAAATAGGTGAATGTGTACATGGATAAAGAGAGTGTGCAATGCCTAGTTTGTGCAATTCTGTAATGTTTTTTTAGATGAAAATAGGTCAGTGTGTACATGGATACCGAGTTTGTGCAATTTTTTGACTTGTCATTTTGTCTTTGTGTAGTGGCAATTTTTGGTGCTAAAATCGCCGCTACACAAAGCCAAAATAACAATTTAAAGAATTGCACAAACTCGGTATCCATGTATCACCAATTTTTGCCAAAGGGGTACCCGTAAATATACTTTTACCGAATTGCTTATGTGGAGGATGGAGGAGATTGTGGTGGGAAGCATGAATATATGCACGTGGAAAAAAAGGTAAAAAGGTACTTTAAAAAATTGACGTTTCATTTATTTATTCGTCTCTGTGTGTTAATTTTTGTAAAAAGATTTGTTGTGTAATGTTTTTATGATACGAAATATGTATTTTTGGTTATTTATTACTCACTGCTTGTGTATTTTGGTTATTTGTTCGTCTCTGTGTGTTAAGATAGTGGCGAATTTTTTTTGTTATCATGACAGTTTTAACTTTGATTTAGCTTCCTGATTTTTGTTTAAGTGAAAATAGATTGATGTGTACATGGACGAAGTTAAGGCAGTGCGCATATTGTCTAGTTTGTGCAATTCTCTGATTTTTTTTTCGAAGTGAAAATAGGTCGATGTGTACAATGGACACCAAGTTTGTGTAAGTCTGATTTTTTATTTTGGTTTTGTGTAGTGACCATCTTGAAATCAAAAAAGAAATGATTTGCCAAGGGATACCATAAATTTTTACAAATGTGGCAGAAATCAGGTAGTTTTGCTAAATACTGAAACCGAGAATGTGTTAAAAAGAAATGATTAATATGAAAATGATTGGTAAGTAGTAACAAGAAAATGCAGAAATGCTAAATGTTGACTGCTTAACTGCTTGTGGTCAGAGTGGGAAATTTGTATGGAAATGACTTCCATTGTTACGGTTGCTGTTAAATGTACTCTTTTAATTTATCTGGCTTTTTTGCTTATCATAAAATATTTCTCAAACTTCATGAATCTGAAATGGATTATATCAATTGGAAGGAAGAGCTATGGAACTGCAAGAGAGAGTCTAGTAAGAACACGGTATTACAAAAAGCAATGAAAAGTCGGGTGGAACAGAACAAGCATTGAAGTATCCTATTGAGGTGGAGATCTGGCAGTCAAATAGACATGAATCAGCAGAGTTGAAGTTGACAGTTGACATTGCATTGTAAGCATAAAGGAATGACCAAGCAGTTGACTGAGAATGTGAGTAAATCTAAGGAAAGTGGTAGATTGGGAGTAGGAGAGATATCTTTTCAGTGCCAATACATAATTTAGAAAGGTAAATTGAAAGTTAGAAGAAATGGAAAGGAAAATGCAAAATAATCTGAACAAACATGAGTGAAATAAAACTAAGAAGGAATGAGGGAGGGTTGATAATGGAGAAGATGTAGAGAGCTATTTAGGTGATTTATAAGCTAATGAAGTGTGGGAGACTTTATTATGAGTTAATTTCTTCTAATACTTGGAATAGTATGGAAACTTTGTCAGACTGATTTGTTTGAAGCCTACACATGTGGTTTTTTAAGCTAAATATAATTTTTTAATTTAATTTTTCCTGAATGTTTGAAAACATTTTCAAAATCTTTCATAATATTAAAAGATCAGAGTAGATGTGTTATTATTGTGATTTTTTACTATGTTGGAGCCCACATCTTTGCAATGTGACAGGAACAACAATGTAATAAACTGCTATGTAACCACAGAGCATCGCTTGGCTGTACCTGTGACATTGGAGAGGTGTGGGCTCTAATTTTAAAAGCAGCCAAACTGTCAAAATGATGAATCACATTTTCAAGGTATGTGTTATTGCTGCATTTCCACTCATGGTTGTTATGTTGAATCTTCATGCATGATGAGTCTGCTTTTGAGTTAGTATCTCAAGATCTGTTACAACACTCCCTTGTGCTCTTTCTTTGGATGAAATATAGACAGATATGACTGTCGTTGGTCGTGAATTGTGTGGGTTGAAAGTTACAGTTAAAGCTTCTATTGCTGAAAGCTGTAGTAGGTTATCAGATAATGAAAAATGGAGCATTAACACAAATTAACACACAGCATTAAATAACATACAGCTTTCCTTCACCATGTCTGGTGTCTCTCTGTTGATCAAGCTGCACTGTATTTGGTGTTTGAACCAAGCCTGTATTTTTGTAGGACAGTGGCGGCAAACCTTTTTGGGGCCACGTGCCCAGAATTCAACCCAAATCCACTTATTTATAGCCAAATGCTAACAGTGCAATTAAACCTGAAAATGGAGGTTTGGCTTAGCAAAACAACACACACTTTAAGACGTAAAAAGAAAAAACAAGAAGAGAGTTTTCAATGATACAAAAAACTTATTACAGGAAACAGATTGGTTTTTCGTAATTAATGGGATTTTTGCTTTTGTATACATACTGGTAATTCATCAAACCTCTGCTCATACTGCATTAATTTGAACGCAACACATGCAGCACTCAGGTTATCTGTCAGTCTGTTTTTCACATTTGATATAATTCAAAGCTGAAAACAGCTGTTGACACGCATAAGACGATTCAAATAAAGTAAGAATAGTGCCCCCAAGTCTTCAGCAATTCTAAATAATTCTGTCCAGGTCTCTTGAAATTATCTACTATCAATGTTTAATTTTGCCTTTTTTGCTGGAGTCATTTGTGAGGGTTCAAGACCTGGAATATAGAAAAGCTCAACATTTAAAAATGAAGCATTATTTACAATATTATTTACCAAATTAGCAGCTTGTGCAAAACATGTTCCAAGTCTAATTTTGTTGGTTTATTGGGCTTCTTATTATTTGAGAACATGTAGCAAGCAACCTCTGTAGGATGTGGGAAGTCTGTCTTCTCCCCAACTACTGCACTTGGGCATCTCTCTCTTACCTTCTTTCATTGGTCAACTTCTTTAAAATCCAAAAATATGTACACCAGAAATTTTGAATGATTTTTTAAAAAATTTTATAGTATGTCAGTGTCCATTTTACTTAAATAAAAATATTTTTTTATTTAAATGCATGCAATTTTCTTAATATTATAAAATATGCTTGAACTTATGATTAGTTTTTTTTGAGCCTGAAATTTTATAGTTCTGTTAGATAAAAGCACACTATCAAAATATCAACAATTTCACGTTACTGCTTGCAAGCTGAAGACAATTTCTCGACTTGCAGATAGCAGTTGTTATTGGGAAATTGTCTCTTGCCAAATTGCTGGAAATTTATAATTAGAATTGAAATTATGAAATGGAAATAAAATGCCATATAAAATTAGAAATAAAGTTAAAAATACCTCCATTTTGTCACATTCAGATTGAGAAACAACATAGTATAAGCCAGCTTTTACAGCTCAAATTTAGCATTATTCAACGAAAAAGCAACTAATGTACAACTTAATAATATTTTGTTATCAAATGATACAGTAAATTGATGAATTCATGAAGCAGTTTTAAAAGTTTTTTGTTTCTAAAACTTATATAATTTCATTTCAGGAAATTTAATATTAAAAAAATAGGTGAATGTTTCTTTCAAATTTTAGTTTGTTCTTATAAATTAAAATTAAATAAAAGTATCATTTGTAGCTATTTGAATATTGTTAATTCCTTTTGTATAATTTTTAGATTGCTATGGTGCCCAAACTCACTTCTGGTGCTCTAAATCGAATATTGAATGGAGAAGATGTGGCAAATGCTATCATTCAGATTCTGGGTTGTAAGAAAATTCAAGGTAGCGGAAATGATCGCTTTAGGTTGCTTATATCTGATGGAGTGCATTCATATGCATTTGCTATGCTCGGAACACAACTGAATCATTTGGTAGCAAATAAAGAGCTGGAAAAATTCACTGTTGTTAGAGTTGATAAATGTGTCTGCAATCAAGTTCAGCAAGACAAGAAAGTAATTATTTTACTAAGTTTAACAGTTTTAACTCCTGGTTCTGAAGTTGGAGACAAATTAGGAAATCCAACAATTCTAGGGCCTAATGCAACTTCTGCTTCTGCAGTTACTGCTTCAGAAGCTTCTAATGCTGCTAAAACTTCCATTATTAATGGCCCAAGTAAACCACCTGCACAAACAAATCTTCAGATGAATGGTTCATCACAACAACCTGTTCATCCAATTAGCAGTTTGACACCATACCAAAATAAATGGACCATAAAAGCTAGAGTCACCAGTAAGACACCTATTCGAACATGGAATAATTCACGTGGAGAAGGCAAATTATTCTCTGTTAATCTTCTTGATGAAACTGGGGAAATTCGGGCTACTGGCTTCAATGATGCTGTTGATAAATTTTATGATTTGTTAGAGCCTAATAAGGTATTTTATATATCCAGAGCTACACTAAAAACTGCCAATACAAAATTTAATTCAGTGAAAAATGATTATGAAATGTCTTTTAATAATGACACCTGTATTCAGCCTTGTGAAGAAGCTTCTAGCACTATTCCAATGTTGCAGTTTGATTTTGTTCCCATAGCTCAAATCGAACAAGTTGATAAAGACACTAATATTGATGTCATTGGTGTGTGTAAGAGCGCTTCAGATGTTCTGACGTTTACAGCTCGAACAACTAATAAAGAATTGGTCAAACGAGACATAAGATTGGTAGATCGTAGCAACAAAGAAGTTAGTTTGACATTGTGGGGTACTGATGCTGAGAAATTTGATGGCAGCATGAATCCAGTTGTTGCTGTGAAAGGAGCTAGAGTTTCAGATTATAATGGACGATCTTTATCTGTAACAATGTCAAGTGTGTTGCAGATCAATCCAGATATTAAAGAAGCACATATGCTGAAAGGTTGGTATGATAGAGAAGGTTGTAACTTGGAATTAGAGTCAATTTCAGGAAAGTCTGGTGCAGTGTCAGGAAGTATGGGTGGCCAGTGGAAAACATTTGCTCAGGCTACTAGTGAGAACCTGGGAATGGGTGATAAAGCTGATTATTATGTCAGCAAAGCCACTGTGGTAATGTTAAGGAAAGAGAACTGCATGTACATGTCATGTCCTTCTGAAGACTGCAAGAAGAAAGTAATTGACATGAACAATGGAATATATCGATGTGAAAAGTGCAGTCGTGAATATAATGAATTTAAATGGCGTCTTCTGTTATCTATAAGTGTTGCTGATTTTACAGAGAACCAGTGGGTTACTTGCTTCCAAGAAGCTGCAGAATGTATTTTGGGCATCACAGCAGAAGAATTGGGCTCATTGAAAGAGAGCAATGAAGAAAGGTACAATGATGTTCTAACTGATGCCAATTTTAAATCCTACATATTCAAATTACGTACAAAAATGGAAACTTTTAATGAAGAAAGTCGTTTAAAAACAGCAGTTGTTAGTGCTTCTCCTGTTGATCCAGTCAGCTATACCAAAAAAATTATGGCAGACATAAAGCAAATGGAACAGGAACTCTAAATGATTTTATTACTATGGTTATTAGCTTATATCTATAGCCATGAAAAAGAATACTATATAATGCATCACAAGCCATTTTATCTGCTCTGAAAGTTTGTATTTTTTTAGTAAAACTGTTGTTCAGTTAACAAGGAATGCAGTAGTCATATTTTTCTTTACATATATCAAAGCAGACCTTTTTCCCCAAATTTTTTGTTTCATATGAAATGAATATTTTATTAATTCTGCTATTTTAAGACATTCTTGTGTTAATATTCATGTTTTATTTTTTCTTCCTTTATGTGAAATGTGTATATTGTTAATTGTGAACTTTTATTTTTTATAAAAATGCTACTGTTATAAAATCATGAATATTACATTAAAAGTTTAGCTTATAAAGTTTTCAAGTTGGAACATAACAATAATGTGGTTTATGATGTAAAATAAAAATTTTATTAAATAAATCTGATATGATTTAAAATAAGAATACTTTCTTTTATTACATTAGTTGTAAATCTAACAATTTTTGTATGTGAAAAAAGCATTCAAAATTTTCTTATTAGCTGTTAACATTTGGAAGTAATGTTAGTTTTGTCAAAATTAGTCTTTTTTTATTTAAATGGGGGGAAAAAAAGACAAAAAGATCGCTTATGTTCTGTCTATGCATAGGCAGCATAAATAAAGTACTATAGTATACGAATTAATTGGGACAAAGCAATTTTTTCACTGAGTTTTAGTTAGTTAATTAAGACAGTTTTAGTTTAGTTAGTTGCCAACAGGTCCCTCAAAGCAGTTTTATTTGCCTTAATATCAACTGCTTTTGACCAGTTAGAATTGGTTTGGACATTAAGATTATAGCACCATTTTTAAGCTTGTTTCTGCGAGAAGGCGTTACTTTTATATCCTTTCTTAATATGTTTTGCATGAGTTCACTTTATCGTACTAAAATTGGATATAACACTTAGAAAGAGAGGAAATTACAGTCACACATCCATGACTGTAAAAAATATTGCTTCCTCAGCTGATTAAACCAACTCCCAAATCTGATTCATTCCTACTTTGAAGTAGAATTATTTATCTAATAAAAACTAGCACAAACCTTGAAAGACATCTATTGTCTATCGGTATTGATATTCATCCTTCAAATGTGCAGCATAGACTTCTGGTTGCTTTTCAGAAGGAAGAGAGCCAGTTAAAAAAAAAAAAAAAAAAAAAAAACAATTTTTGGCACTTCAAGCGAAGCAAAAACGATTATTGTAAGCCAAAAAATACAAATCTTGGACCATTAGGGACTGGAAAATGTAATTTTCAGTGATGAAACTTCCCCCCCCCTTAACTTCAGCTTATCCAACAAACTGTAAAATGTCCTCAAAATCAAATGTTTTGGGGATTTTCACTGCAGGTGAACTGAAAGTGTAGTTCCTATTGATGGAATGATGTATTCATTGAAGTATATCAAATTTTTAAAATATAAGATTGAATTATTGAGAACCTTTGCAAAGAGATTTCAGCATGACTTGGCTCAATGTCATAATACAAAATCTATCAGAAGGTTCATGTTGGAAAATAAAATTATTGTGCTGGATTGGCCTTGAAATTTACTAGACCTAAATCTGATCATAAACTTGTAGCATGTTGTCAATGAATATCTTGCCAAAATAGATTATACAACAAAAGAGCGTATTATTAAGAATGCTGTAAAAGTGTTCTTCCATAATAAAGAAGTAAAAAATATATGCACAAAACTGATAGAGTCAATGCCTAAATGCATTCTAGAGGTCATTTCTGCTACATATATGTACATAAATTATTAAAAATAATAAAAAAAATCTTTGTCCCAATTAATTTGCATGTTAAGTAAATTTGAGCATCAGCCATACAAATGCTTTTTTTAAACAATATTTCAGGATGAATCTTAAATAATAAAGCATGGTCAATTCAAGATGCATACAGGATATATTTTTCTTCCAGTTTTTTCTGCATAAAATATTTTTCAGGTAAAATAAAACCGTGAGCAAAGATGTAATTACATGTTCAGTGAATTCAAAATGCCATCTGAGTGCGTTTCTTGGAAAAATACATATATCTTTCAATTTGAAGTTAAAAAGGGGGGGTACATCTCTATATCTACCATTTTATTCTGCCATTGACAAAATTCAACTTGCATTTTTCATGTCTCAAAAGCATGACTTAGGATATATACTATATGTAGCATTCTTCTAACAGAATGAAATGGTACTATTATGACACAAAATTGGTCTTTTTCTAAAATCCCCCCCCCTTATTTCGATTTTGCAAGTTAAATTATACCTAAAAATGTGGTGAAAAATTTAATGAATAATTCGAGACTATACAAGGCATTTTTGATGTTTACCTCAAAATCTGTTTACCTATATCTGTTGGGCAAGCCACAGGTGGTGTACATTTGTGAGTATTTAAAATGGCTCTACCAACTGAGAATCCTGTGGACTGAGATCAGTGATTTGTTTTCTTAGTACTAAAGATGTGAAAACGGCTGAAACTCATCATCAGATTAGTAAAGTGTATGCAGAAAACATTATGAACGATGGAATGGTACAGAAGTGGGTAGAGCTTTTAAAGATGACCATGTGAATGTTCATGATGATGAATGGAGTGGGTGACTTTTTCATTACTGAAGATTTGGTGCCAAGGATAATTCACTCGACGAACATCTGAGTGTATGTATGAATCGCCATCAATCACTTTCAAAATGTAACTTTTAATATGTACAATATTTACAGATCATTAATAAAAACATGGTGGTTCAGTTGACAAACAAATCTATATGCTTTTATAATCAAAATCTTTTAAATAGGAGCCGAAGTGTTCTTAAAGTGTGCGAAGCATCTAAGCATACATCTATCTAGCTGCCGGTGGAGAGTCTATGGAAATTCAAAACGTGACGCTAGCGCCATCTATCAATTAATCAAAATAATTTCCACACACTCTCCACCTGAACTCTGCAAAAAGTTCACATTAATCTAACAAGAAATTTATATCAATAAGTATTTTAACATATAATTGTAAAACAATAAGTATATTAAATGAATAGAAAATATATTCAAACTATTAATCTTTATAGTAAATTCTAAAAAAGGTATGTTATCATCAAATATAATCTGACACTACTTCAGTAAATCTAGACAATTCTTAATCTAATCCTAGAAAAAATAAACAAATGCATAAAACATATTCAATCTTATTCATATTATTAAACAACAAAAAATGTTATTAAAGTTCTAAAGGATATAATAATTGAAGTAGTCATTTTATTATCGTTCCATCAGCAGTTTTTAGTTCACAAGAATGAACTTTGTTATCACGACCACAAAGAACGTTTATCACTCTACCACAGTTCCACAAAAGTTTGCACTTGTTGTTTGCCTTCGATTAATACAAGATCATCATAAACGTTAGGGTTTTTTAATTGATGAGCCGGCTGAAAATCCATCAAATATTGTTTTTTCCATTTAGTCCACAATTGTCTAAACAATAAATCTTTATTTTGGTCAAAGAGGACTTGGTAGAGCCATTTTTTACAATGGAGTTAAAGTTAATAGGTAATGTAGAATCTTTTTTTTTTTTTTTTTTTTTTCCCGAAAATCAAGAAATTGACTGGCTTCAATGGCAATAGCTCCTTGTGGTCATTGTACACGTATGTGAAAGGACGAGAATTCAAAACAGCTTCCACTTGTGCTAAAACCATTGACAATTCTTCAAACGTTAGTAAAGCTTTACCGAGAATTTTTCTTAAGCACTCTGACTGATTTTACTGATCTCTCATAGAAGCCTCCCTACCAAGCCCTCGTTCTATTATAAACTTCCAACTGATTCTTTCATTCGACAGAAAATCTTGGGATTTTACATTTTCTCATGTAGGAAAAATGTCGTGTTTTTTTCTTTCTTGGAAATATTTTTACATTGTATATTCTTTAATTGTGTTTATCTTTTTTTTTTTTTTTTTTTTTAGCTTTTTAGAATTTTATTTTAGTTACATGGTGGAAGTAATAATTTTAAAAATTGAATACATTTCTTTTGAAAGAATGCTTTGTAACCTAGTATTCAATACAATGCCTTTGAAAACTCCATACTACATCAAAATGACTGTAAAGCATAATTAATATGTCTTTTAATGATCTGTTCAGGAAAAGATACATGAAAAAGAAAGATGTATAATCGACTTTTTAATTCATTATGGTATGCATACATACAATTTCCCACTGCTTTATACAATTTTATCATTATGCCATTGTTTTACACAATTTTTATCATACTTTTAATTTGTTAAAATGTTATCCATGTTTCTATATAAGGTTTTATTTTTCATTTTTGAAATCACGAGAATTAAATAGCATACATTAAAAAAAAAAATTATTTTATGGGAGGGAACCTCTATGCCTTATTATCTCAAAAACAACTTTAAATTCCTTAATGATTTTTTGAGCCTTTCTGCAGATATATCCAACATCATCATCTTTTTTTATTCATTGTATACCATAAAATATCTTAGTTTTTGTGACATTCTCATGGTTAAGAAATGTTGCCTTCCATTTTTTCAGTATTTGATCTGAGTAAAATAAGCAATTTTGACAATGAGATTGAATACCTTTAGTAGCTAGGCATTTTACAGACTTGGGATGAAAGGGAAAAACTGGCGTCATCAACACGGAAAATGTGTTTGGCTGATATCCATGCATTTCATTGGATAATTTTTTAAATCTTCAATAGATTCATAGTCTTATCTGAAGTTGTTTGCTGATAGGATATATTTTGTTAAGAATATTGCGCCGAGGAATATAAGAATTATAAAAGAAGGATAATTATTTTAGAATTAATATATACAAATACTAAATTTTCTACAGAATGTGAAGTAAAATCGGAAACTCCTTTATTTTAATAGTTTACGAAGGCGATCTAGATGAAAGTGAAACTAAATGGGTTTTTTCTATATACGAGAATATGACGAAAAAGCATTTTGAATATCACATCTTTGTCAAGACCCGAAACAATTGGCATTTGGCAGTTATAATAGGCTAGCTAATTTATGAATTAAATCCGAGAAATCCATGAGAGGGAACATAACATATTATAAATGAGCTCTACAAAACAGCATTTTTAAAAAAATCTACAATATTATATTATTATGGATTATTAGAAAACACAGGTTTTTCACTTATTTAATAAAGAAGAGATTTTTATTTAAAACATAGTCATACCTTTTCTAACTGGATCGCTTCCGCAACAGATATACAACAAATATCTGCACCGCATGAAGTGCAATTTAAACAATTTAAATTTTGTCAGAATATGGAATTTATATGTGGAAAACAATATGACCAATAAACTAATAGCAAACAAACTGTAGCAAAAATAAACCATTATAAAAAATTTGTTTATAATGAACAAAGACTTGTTACTGCAGGAATCCCAGCATATTAATTTACCGATGGGCCCAAAATGCTCCTAATACGACACTGACATAAGGTAAGAGGCACCAGCACCATTGCAGAGCACACTATCAAAGCAATTAGGGGATACTGTGAGTTGAGCATAAATAACTATTTAATCGACAACTTTTTTGAAAACGTGAAATAAAAGGGGTTAAAAAGTAAAAGTTCTTATGTCCATCGCTCGTTTAGGGGCGGGTCAAACGCAATCCATAGTAACGGAAGCATTAGGTGTTTCTCTAATGTCATTTACAGACTATAGGATCGGTTTCTGGAAACTGGAAACGTACGTCGAAGACAGGAACGTGGTCGTACTCCTGCAGTAACACAAAATAAGGATCGGTATTTAAAACTAACGCCCAGAAGGAATTGTACCATGAACGCCATTTTCTTCCAAGGTCTAGTGGTACCAGAGTTTTACTTCAAACTGTTCGAAATCGATTCCACCATGTGGGTTTGTACGTTTGCAGACTTATGTTTTCTGCTTGGTTGAAACAGGACCACATTCTGCTCGTAGAATGTGAGCTCAGGAGCATCTCAGAGAGAGATGAAAATGAGTGTATTTCAAAGATGAGTGTCGTTTTATTGCTGCCGACGGGCTTTAGTCAGGACAAGGGCCTATTGTCAGGATTAGACCTGTCGAAAAACCTGGTACATGGAATTCTCCTGCAGTTGTGCATGAACGTATACGATTTGGCGAAGGCGAAATGAGGGTCTGCACTGATATTTCTATCAATGGCCAAACCGATCCGAACATTATCAGTAAATGAGAACTAACAGTTCAGCGACGTAGGGATGAGATCTCTTGTGGTCCATTTGCAGAAATCGAGGATGAATTCATTCTCATGGATGATAACGCCTTGCCACATCAAGCTCAGCTAGTGAACAAGTTTCGTTTCGAGAAAGGAATCATTTGAATGGATTGGCCAGTACATTCTGCAGATGCAATTCCAATAGAACATCTTTGAAACATTGTAAGAAGGACTGCTAGTCGCTTATCAATTCCAGAAACTAGTCAGCAGATTGAAAGCTTTCTTAGGTGTACAACATAGCTTTCGGTTACAGGAAACCATAATTCAAACTCATTTGTATCCGAGAAATCACATTTTTATTTGTTTGTATAATATGCACAAATTGTGCATATAAAACTTTGTATAAAGTGCAATTCAATATTAAGGATTCACATTTGAAAAAGATAAAATATGTTTTCTCTAGAGTCATTATTATTATAGAGAAGGAAATTAATCTTATATTTTTTCAATTTTTTCTAAGAACAATTTTTACTCTAAACAAGCTATTTCAAAATATAGCCTGTCACTGATATGATCTTATTCGTATACAGTACAAAGTCCGAGATCCGCTCAATATTCGGAATGATCTAAAATTCAGATCTCAAAGTCACCAACAATCCTTTTTTTTTTTTTTTTTTTTTAATGCTTTATGCATGCACATTTCATTTTTTCTCCATAATAAAATATGTAGATGTAGAGGGTTTGTTTACGACAAATGTCCACAATAAAATTTAATTATCATTTCTTGTTTCTTTGTTCTCTTTACTCATATCTTACACATATAGACCAGATATCACTCACCAAAATATTTCCTCATCCGCAGTTTATATCCAAAAGCATAGTATTCCCTAATTGTTTTAATAAGTGTACATATTGTTTAAGGGCTAATTTTCATTTAACAGTATAAACACTATAGTGCTTTAATGTCTAAGAAAGATTAATTGACTTTAATAAAGCCATTTAATTCTACATTATTACTGACTCTTATGAATATGTGTACGATTGAGCTTAAAGAAACTCTAAATATATTTCTAACTTCTGAATTTATTTATAGTACTGAATTTAATTAGCCTTTCTTCAGATTTTAAAAATTTACCCTCTCTTTTCTTTTGTTCTATGATATTCACATTTTCATTTTCAGTTAAATGATGTTTATTTAATTGCAAGCATTATCTCATAGGGTTTCTTTCAGTTAAAATGAAATATTTAAAAAAAAAAAGTGTTATTTTATTTCCTGGAACTGCAGGTAGCGAACACAGTTCACACAGAAATAACTTTCCATTTGCAGAAGTGAATTTATAAGGCAAAGAATGATATTACAGAAGTATAAAACGTTATTTTGAAAATCTCTCTCAGTTGAAGATTTTAATATTAATTTTCATGATTTGCTTTTCAGCTGTAGAAATAAAATGTTCTGCTCAGCAGACTCAGAAACTCGTTTTTCTGTTTATGTTTTAACTTCTCATTTAGTAATTGTATTTGTGAAATATTTCTGGCACATGAAAAATCATTCTGCTTCAAATTATGCAAAAAATTAGTGTTTCATAAAAACTCCTTGCAGCAGTTTCGAAACTATATTCAATATTTCTTATGATCATTGCTTTCATCATTATTCAAAAGACCTGCAAATATCAGCATCACAGAAGAATGAGACACATAAAATGAGAAGGACGGAATGTATGAATTTTGCTTCAGGAATTAAATATTTAGCTACTGCCTGGCGTCTGTCACTTCTGTGAAATTGTATTTTGAATCAGACAACTAAAAGAAAAACTTATTTTCTGTATTGTTTTTTACTGTTATCCTGGAAATTAAATGGCTAAATACAAAAGTATAGTAAAAAAACGCTGCTTTGGGTAAATTATTAGATTATAAAGCTTACGTATATTAAAAAAATTTTTTTTTTTAAATTTATTAACCATTTTGGCTAATCTTTGGAATATGGTAACAAGTAGTTTGGCGACATTTTGGTAAGGCGATAGAGGTTACTAGCTAGGACTTTAGCAGTGTACATGGATAAAGTCAAGAGTGTTGCGCAATGCCATTTTTGTACAATTCTGGGATGTTTTTTTAAGTGAAAATAGGTCGACGTGTACATGGATGATACCGTGTATGTGCAATTCTTAAAAGCAGTGGACGATTCTGCAATTTCTCACCTAATCTTCGTCATGATTAAGCACTTTTGTTCCATAAAAGTTCTAGCATAAGCGTAATTCGGCTAGCAGATTGTTTCAAAAATATATATATATATTGATTTAAAATAAATAATAATAAAAAAAAACATGCCTTTACTTCGTGAAAACAAAATGGCGTCGCCCCCCGAAAAAAAAAAACACTAGCAGGTTGCTGTAGCAGGGTTGGTCGCCAAAAAATCGTCAAGTTACCATAATCCGAAGATTACCCAATATTTTTTTATTTTGTTTATTCAACGAAACTGGATTCAGATGGACTCAATCTGAATTTAAACTGCCTGTATTAAATAGTACTGGAAATTATTGTAGTTCAGTGTTATCAAATGCCGAGATAATTAAATTTAAAAACTTCAACGAAAATTTTACCATTTTACACAGATAAGGAAATATCGTAAGTGAGGAGAAGTACACATTTTAGGACCTCTTTCTGTGTAGCAGAGTGGCGCAGTGGAAGCGTGCTGGGCCCATAACCCAGAGGTCCGTGGATCGAAACCATGCTCTGCTAATCAGTTTTTTTTTTTCTTATTTCTTATAATTCCGGTCAGTGGCGTAGCTAGGGAGGGTAAAGGGGGACATCTGTCCCCGGGCGCAGCATCCAGGGGCACCAAATTAATGGTACAAAATTTTAGAATGAAACTTTTTACACTTTTGGTACACAGAAAGGGGCAAAAAATCTTCAGTTGTCTCCGGCGCTGAAAACCCTAGCTACGCCTCTGATTCCGCTATTCATAGGATTATTGAAAGCACTGAAAGGATACTTGTGGAAGCTTTCATTGGTTTTCGTGTAATGTAAATAAATATTTGTTTATTTCAATAGACGTCAAAAAAGCGACGAACAGTTTTAAAATACTTTAAGAACTTTTAACGGAATGTGCAAAACAGTTAAAATTTTATTAACAAGTAACTAGTTTCACTACATTTTCTCGTATTAATTTTAACTTGAATTTGAGAAATTATGTTTTTATTCCCTAAATATTCATTTTTGTTCTTAAAAATATTTCATGTATTAAATACATAATAAATGATGTGTCAAGTAAAATATGTGTAAATGTGCATTTTCCTTTATTTTTGTAACATTAAATGATTCATCAACTGGCATAATTTTCCTTAGAATATTCTTCTGCTACATCCAAGGTTTGAGCTATCCAAAATGGCATCAATTGATTCCGTTGGAATAACCGGAATGATTCTTGTTATAGAGTATAAAGAAAGAAGCTAAGCGATCAGTCGGAAGTGGTATAACTCAGTGGTAGAGCATTCGACTGCAGATCTAGTGGTCCACGGTTCGAACCCGGGTGCCCACCTACAGAGTAGGTTTTTTTTATCACTAAATTTTTAAAAATATTTTCTGAAATAATAAAATCATTGAAGTTTTAAAAAAATGTAATCAAATGTTCGATTTTACATTTTTTTTAACATCTGAAAAACGGTTTAGGCTTAAATTTACGTTTTTTTTTTTTTTTTTTTTTAGGTATTTGTTATGTTTTTTAATTCGTGGAAGAAATAAGAAGACTGTTTAAAAGATTCTTTAATTAAATTATATATATTTGCTTTGTATTCAGTGTTCTGAGGAGTATGATTAATTTTAATCTTAAATTCCGGAGATTTGCGAAATCGGTAGATAATAATGTGTTTTACTTTAATATACTATTAAGAGCATGAAAGAAAAATATCGTTTTGTTTTAGATAATGAGCTGTTTACAAATGAAAATGCTTCGGTATTGTTTTCCATGAATTATTCCAAACTGTAATTTTAATGAAATTAGTCATGCGTCAGTTGCTTTTAAAATTCACATATCATCGTCTGCTAGAATGAAAGCCAGATTTATTTTTAAAGCCAAGCTTTGAAATATAGCGGTAATAAATCTCAAAGTAAAGTTCTAAACGTCAGATGTAAAATTCTAATGGGATAAGTTAAAGAAAACTACTTTTAAATGAATAACTAAGCTTTAGCTTCATGAGGAACGCGTGACAAAAATAATTTTCGTTCATTATATTCTGGTGGTGCAGCCATTAACAGATCGTACAAAGAGATTCTTTGAAATAAACCTTTTAAACTTTCTGCACAGCTTCTTTCATTTCATAAATGGTTAATTTTCGCAGTTGTTTCGTGTTATTATCTTAGATGCAGATTCTGCCATTGTAATTGTATGAAGAAGAGACAGAATATTTAAATTTTAGAAGTTCTGTCTGAAACCAAAAAGTTAAGAATAAGTTCAAGCTTTTTTTAATTATATTTTAGACTAATTTCTTGGATTTAATTATTATACTTTCGAAAGAAAGTTATAAAAAGTTTCTTTTAGAAATTCTCCCGTTATTAGAGTAATCATATACTAGAAGGTTAATCAAATTAAACTAAGATCATAATAGATGTTGCTTTGAAATGTATTAAAGATAGTTCTCTTACGCGCTATTATGCTGTGATATTCAGCATATTGATTCGATAATATGAAACAGCTTTTCTCAAACTCTGTGTACCATCTTACTTTTGTCTCCTTCGAAAACAATTGTAAGGTATTTTATCCCTCCTTCCAGCATGCCTTCGTGGTGTACCGGTAGCAGTTTTTGAGAGTTCCAGGTCCAAGTCCCGGCGAGGGCATTGCAGATTTTTCATGTCCCTTGCATCAAAAAATCCTAGACTCTACAGTGGGGCCCAAATTAAAAGGTGGTGGACAATTAATCGTTGCCAAGAGGATTTGGCGATTGGGTCCCCTAATCCCCAGTCCGCCTTTAAAAGGGAGAGTATATAAGGTCTCTGCTTTCAGCATGCCTTCGTAGTGTAATGGTAGCACACTGGGAGTATATTTGAAAGGTTCAGGTTCGAGGGCACTGTTTATTTTTCACGTCTCCTGCTTAAAACAGACCTAACGACTCTACAGCATCTATTACTACTAATATTTTTAAAATAATGCTAACTAAAATTATTTACAGCAGTTTAACAGCAAATTAGCTTTCAACAGCAACATCTGAAGATAATTTTAAAATGAGTATATCTTTAGAATTTCCGATACAGAGTCTCGCGCGCTGGAGTTTAAATTTTTTGTTTGTTTGTTTCTTTGTTTCCCGTACAGTGTTGCCATTGCTGGTTTTGAAATCGTTGAGTTTTTTAATCAAAAATTGGTTTAAGTGTTACAAAATATGAAATCTCTACATATAATAAAAGAAAGAGTCTGTCTGTGTGAGTGTGTCTTTTGTTCGCGATGCGCGTAAGCTAATAGACCCACGGCTACGAAATTTGGTACATAGGTGCATCTACACAAGAGCCAGTGCCCTTCGAAGCGATTTTTTCGAAATTCGAATTCGAATTTTTTTATTTCATGTTTTGAGACGAAATCGTGTTATTTTGAAACATAATGGGCTATAGGAAAGCGAGATTTTACTCTACACACTCCATTTTTACATCGTCATGAAACGTAGGCACTTAGCTATTTTACGAACTTAAAATAAATTTCGTGTTTCAATAAATCGATTAAATACGAATTTATTTAACAAAGGGAGCTTAACACTTTTTCAATGGGAATTTTTCTAAAAAAGTTTATTTTTAAAAATGTACAGTTTATTTTTTTTTATTTTTGGACACGTTAAACTTTCATCCTTACGAATGCTTTTACAAAAAGAATTTTGGAAAAATGATAATATTATGTATTTTTAAAAGGTTTTTTAAATGAAGCTTCCGAGTACACTTCTCACATCTTTAAAAATGTGATTTTGGCAACAATTTTCCTGTCTTATTGTTGTTGATAGATTTTTGATGAAATCGCATCATTTTGAATAGGTCATTCTTTTAGAAATATGGTTTTGGCAACAATTTTTTATCGTATTTCTTATGTCACTGTTTTTCAGAGATTGGCATATTTCATTGTCTTTTTTACTTCCTTGTACGAAGTAAAAGGAAGTATTGTAATCGAGAAAAGTTTCAGGCAGCATATTTCAACGAAAATATCAATTTTGACTGCAATCGAATCCAATTTAACGATGTTTTTGCGTGATATCTGTACGTAAGGACAGAATAAAATACTCTTTTCCTTCAAAAAAATTATCAAACTGCTTTAAAATGAATTCTGAAGAGAATTTTTCGTGGCGTCTGTACGTACGCATCTCGCATAACTCAAAACCGAGTAGCCTCAGAACGTTGAAATTTTGCTTATAGGACTGCTTTAACATGTAGATGTGCACGTCGTATTTTGGTTGCAATCGGCCGCATCAAAAGTATATACATATATGCATGACTCGGCTCCGTGAGCTCAGTTTCTTTATTCTTATATGTTTGTAAATTGTACATTTTTTGCTTTAAAAATGAATTATGTTGCTCTTATCTTCCGGTTAATGTTTTTATGCCGTTAGTAAATCTCTATGCAATATTTTTAGAATTATCAACAATTTTAAAGTTGTTTAAGTGCCGCTAAGCCTAATACTTCTCTTGGTGGCGGCCATTGTTTGTTTACATTTGAAACAGCAGGATAGTGGATTTGTTGCCAATCTAGAGAAACTTAGCTTCGCAACAACAAAGATAGCGCCTTCATTTATTACTGCCAATTAAATCATGCTTAATCCTTTCTGGAATTTTTTTGAGGAAATAAGTGTTTAAGATTTACTTCGTAATTTTTAATATAGATATTTTGAGTTTTTATGTATTTTTGCCTTCTCGCGAAGTGACAACTGAATTAATTGAATGAGAAATACTCAATCGTCTGTGAAAAACTGTTTCTTTTTTGTTTTGTTTGCTTAATTTCTTTTATACATCATTCTAGCTTTATTATAGTATTTGAATGGAACATGTGGCAACGATTAGATAATTCTATTCTTTAAATGATATAAATTTTGTGCATCCTGAGTTATAATATGAACGAAATATAATACTGTTAAGTGAACCTAGCGCCAGAGTGTCGCTATGGTAAACAAAGTGAATTTTAAAGAATGCATTTATTCTATTGTGGTTTATGCGCTGTCGGCGAAGTAGATTTAATTCAATCCAATAAGTTTAAATGAAATGCAAGAAAAAATGCGTATAATTTAATATTCCGTACAAGGAAGTCATGTGGTGTACACATGAGATTTTTTATATATATAGTACTTTTTTTTTTTTTTTTTTTTTTGATAAAGTTGTTCTGCAGAGTAAAATTCTGCGCGGAATGTTTTATTTTTTGAGTTGCTTTCATATTACTTTTTGCTTATTTCACTGTTTGTAAAATACTGAAAAGTTTTGAGTGACTTTTTTAGGAAACAACGTTCTTAACCTCCTTTCTACCATTTGAGTTCTTAAGATTTTGCAAAGGGAAGTTGGTTAATTTATTTATTACGGTAATTAATATTTGTATTAAGGGATATTGCTTATTTCATTGTAATTTTGTTATACATAATAACGTTTTTTATGAAGTTGTTCTGCAGAGTAAAATTCTATGCAGTTTTTAAATTTAACGTTTGGTATTCTCTTCAGCCATTTTTTCGGTACATTTAAAAGCCAGACGAAGGCTGGCAGCGAAGCTGCTAGTCGATAATAAGACAAATTTCAAATTCAAATTAGGACTTCCACATGCCTATTCTGTGGAAGATTGCGTTACAGAAATTTCGATAGCTCTAGGTACCGCCGTTTTATCACCATTCGAGAAACATATATAGTTTATAGTTTTCAATGCAAAATGCGAAAACGAATTTAATAGTCCTTCAGGGCAAATTGCCCCTTTGGACTAATAATATTAAGTGAAAACGGGGAATTTAAAAATTTAAATTTCAATATTTACTGCAAGATCTATTAAATAAATTTAAAGTTCAACTGTTCGAAAACTAATGTTAGCCACTGTATTTAAATTTTGAAAAGAATTGCTTTATTCTCAAGACCGTATTGAAATTAGCCTTGAGAAATATAATTACTGAATTAATTAATCATTGATTACTAAATTACTTTTTTAAATCTCTTATTACAGTCATGACTTTAAACTACAAGAATATCCCTCTTCGTTATTATAGCTTTGTAATCCGCCAATAGATGGCATTGTATAAAAAGCCGCCATTAGAGGGCGCAGGATAGTAAAAATAAAATATATAATTTAGAGTCTACAGAAATCGAGCGATGTGACCAGGATTCCTCAACTTACAGCTATACGTAAATTTGTATATATTTAGTGTAGTAATGAACAAATTTATTATATACTATGAGCCATCTTGCCGAATGAAAGAAAAATATACACTTTTTGACATTCATTCTTTTAACAGGTCTGTAGCATGCTAATCTCCCCTCAAAATATTGAACCACAGTTTCTTGAATTGTAACATTATTCTTGTAGAGATGTAAAGTCATAAATTCGAATAC